GCCGCAGGGATGGAAGCGAGAGGGTGAGCGAGCGACGCACCGACGTAGGAAGGGAAGTAGGTCGACGGGTGGTCCGAGCCTGCGAAGCCGGCTTTGAGGGTTCCGGACCCCTGGTCAATGACGATGGGCTGATTGAGCGCGTCCATTGCGTGAGGCTGCGCGACGAGGTCGGAGAGGTGTCAGCGGGAGGGACACGCAGAGGGTGGAGGAGATCTTGTGAGCGGCGGGACTCGTGCGGCTTGACAGTGGCCTCAGGACTGCCTGAGAGCACATTCACTGGCGCAAAGCGGCCCTCTGCGCTTCTACTGCGCTCGTCGCCGCACGCTCGCCCATGTTCGCTCACTCGCGTCGTTCAGTTGGAGGAGCGCGGGGAACGCACCTGCTGGTCAGCGCTCGCCTGTGTAGACGCCTAAGTAGAGCTTGAAGATGTTCGCAGTCGTGACAAGCGTGACTGAGGTGCTGCCGAGTCGCGGAGTTTGCCGGACAAGGGTGGTTGTCTTGAGACGCGTGCGGCGAGGAAGCTGGCGCAAGCGTGTAGGGGGGTCGCGAGGGCTGTACTAGTGTCGTACGAGCTCTGACGAAGCTTGAGACGCAAGGACGTGCGTGCTGGACGGGAGCGAGTGAGGGAGAGGGGGAGCAAGCGGGGCCGACGAGAGCGCGAGCGAGACCTCAAGAGTGGGCCGGCGAGACTGGCCTCGTGTCAGCGCGCCAGAGTCTAGTCACGACAGGACGCTGTTGCAGGGAGAGGTACACAACAAGGACAGAACCGCGCTACAGCGGGCGAAAACAGGACATGGCTCCCTCGTCTCGAACCTCCCAGGTCGGGTCGGGAGCGCAGCGCCTCACTCAGTCTGCACCCAAGCGTTCGCGAGGTCGCCTATCAGGGGCAGGTAATGCCGTTCGAGGACGTCAGCGTCGTGGTACGCTCGCAGGCTGCAAAGGGCAAGTAGGGGCGTCAGGAATGCGGCCAAGTGAGAAAGTGAAAGATGCACGAGTCCGCACCTCATCAGCCCGAGGATGACGATGTCGCCGGCGAAGAGGAGGTACTGCATCCACCGGCCGAACAGGAGGAGGAAGAAAAGGTGCAGCAGGACGAGGCCGCCGTTGAGGAGGATTGACTGCGGGCGCGCGCAAGGGAGAGAGGGTGAGCCCGAGTCCATCTCGCCACCGCACTGCGAGAGGACGACGCACCTGCCACGCGTGGAAGCGCACATAGTCCGACTCGATCTCAAACACGAGGAGGACGGCCGCGCCGAACGGGCCGAGGGCGTACGCCCCGGCCGCCTCGTAGTCGTTTCGCCAGAGCGTCACCTCGTAGTTGCTCGCGCCGCCTGGGCCCTGCGCACCGAGGTTGGCGTACCCTCCCCCCGCGTACGAGTTACCAAACGAGGTGCCTGCGCCGAGGGACGAGACGGATGCGCCGCCTTGGTAGCCCTCGTAGGGTGCCGACGCCGACGACGACGAGGAAGGCGCGGGACCGGCTGCGGGCGGTGGAGCCCAGCGGGTCTGCGCCGGGTTGAGGTCGGGCGGCTCGGAGTCTGGGGGCAGTGGGCGAGGTCAGTCGAGTGCGGGCCGAGTCGGGGGTGTGAGTGGGGGTTGACGAGGTCAGGGGTGTGGAGAGGAGATGGTGAGAAGCGACGCACAGGGAGCAAAATTGAGAGGCGTGGTCGAGGCCATTGGAGAAAACCGAGTCGCTCTCGAGCCACAGTACCAGGCTCTGTAGCGAGTGCGAGAGGATAGCGAGCGGACAGGCAGTGCCTGCTGCGGCGTGCGAGGCGGAGAGGCGGGTTGACGATCCGTCTCGAGGGGAGGCGCGCGCGGTTTGAGCTGGCTGGAGCGCTGGGCCCGCTCGCCCCGTTTGCCCGTTTGCCCTCGTTCTCCCTCGAGCCGCCGACAAGGTGAGCACGCGCTCGCTAGTCCTTGCAGTCCCTGCTCTGCACTCGTCTCGACCCACGAGACACGCCTCGCCCACACGCGCCCTGCTCGTGCCGCCGTCGCCGTCCAAAACTCGTCGCGCTGACCCTCCCTCGTCCCCTCCCCTCCCTCGCTCGTGTCCTCTCTCCTCTGTACCAGACCAGGATGGGCGCCTTCAAGTACCTGGTCAGTCCCACACTCGCGTTCCCCGATTACCCAGCCTCGCCCGGGACCAGTGAGCTGACCCCGTTTCGCCCCTCGTCCCTCCCCGACAGACCGAGCTCCACAAGCGCAAGCAGTCGGACGTCCTCCGCTTCCTCCTCCGCGTCCGCTGCTGGGAGTACCGCCAGCTCGCGGTCCTCCACCGCGCGTCGCGCCCCTCGCGCCCGGACAAGGCCCGCCGCCTCGGTTACAAGGTCCGTTCAGAGTCCCCCTTGCCTGCAAAAGTTGGCCGCGCGACGAGTTCGGGTTGGGTGGGTCCTGCAAGGACGCAGGACGGTGCGGGAGAAACAGGGTGCAGCTGGGCCGAGTCGCGCAGTGTGCGCGGGCAGTGTGCGGCAGCGGCGGCCGCGTGCAGCAACGACCCTCCCTCACCTCGGCTCGACCCGACCTCGCCTCCCCCGCTCCCCGCTCGTTCGACTGCGCCGCCGCCTTTGAGACATACGGCCACCCTCCCGACATTCCACGACGTCTTCCCGCGCGACCCGCCCGCGCCCGACGAGCGCCTCGCCGACTGCCCCTTGCTGGCCGTTCGCACTGCCCGCCGACATGTCGTCCGCGTCGCCGCCGCTTGCCACGCACTCGAGCCCTGTGTATGCGGAGAGGGGGGAGTGGGTGCACGAAAGGGGGCGCGGAGCTAGCGAGGGCGAATGCGACTCGCGGACGACGAGCAGCGCGCACGGGTGCGACCCCGAGAACAACCCGACTGACTCGCTCTACCCCGCTTTTCCGCTCTCGCAGGCCAAGCAGGGCTTTGTGGTCTACCGCATCCGTGTCCGCCGCGGTAATCGCAAGCGCCCCGTGCCCAAGGGTGCGTCCCCACTCAACCGGTCGCCGGTCGAGGAGGTGGCCTCTGCCGCGTGGACAGGGGAAGCTGACCTCGCCGGCTCCCTTCTTTCCCTTTCCACTCTCGTCACCAGGTGCCACGTACGGCAAGCCGACGAACCAGGGTGTCAACCAGCTCAAGTTCCAGCGCTCGCTCCGCTCGACGGCCGAGGAGCGTGTCGCCCGCCGCTGCGGCAACCTCCGCGTGCTCAACTCGTACTGGATCAACCAGGACGGCGTGTACAAGTACTACGAGGTCATCCTCGTTGACCCGTCGCACAAGGCGATCCGCCGCGACGCGCGCGTCAACTGGATCTGCAACCCGGTCCACAAGCGCCGCGAGTCGCGCGGCCTCACCTCGGCCGGCAAGTCCAACCGTGCGTCCCATCTCTGCTCTGTCACTGCGAACGGAGGAGACGTGCCTCGCGAACTCGCACTGACCTCGCTCCTCTCCCTCCCTCTCCTCGCTCCTCTCCCTCCCTCTCCTCCTCGTCCCTCTGTCGCCTTCCTCTCTCCCTCCTCCTCCCTTCTACTCGCTCTACCGTCACGCCTCTCACCTTGCGCCCCGCCTATCTGCGCCGCCTCGTCGCCCTCACCGCCTCGGCCGTCGACCTTCTCCTCCTCCCCCTCCTCCAACCTCCCCCCGACTCTCTCCTCGTCCTCTCCCTCATCCTGCACCTCTAGGCGGCTTGGGCAAGGGGCACCGCTACAGCAAGGCTCGCCAGTACGCGACCTGGAAGAAGCACAACACCCTCTCGCTCCGCCGTTACAGGTAAGCGTGGGTGTTTGGGTCGCTTTTCGGCTGCCGAGGGAGGGAGGAAGGGGAAAGGGGAGGTTGTCGTTCTCTCTGTCACTCTGCGTCCTTTCCTCCATCTGCCTGCGTGTCGTGGTGTCGAGAGTCGAGTGAGAGGCCCTCGTTTCGAGGGAGGCCAGTGCGCCGCCTCGGTTCCTCTGGCCTGGGGGAGGCGCCGCGCTGGGCTTTCGGCTGTCCAGTCTCCTCCTTTGTGCTGCCGTGCTTTGGTGTGCGAGCGACGCGCGGAGCTTCGCATGCAGCGGTTGGCTCTGAAGTGAGTCCGTCGCAGTCGGATGCGAGCGAGACAACTCGACTGAAGCCTGGGACGGTGCCGCCTCCTCCGCGTCCTCTGCATCTGGCTGCAGGGACAGCGAGCCTCGTTAGGCGCTGGCATGCGTGTCTTCGGCATCGGCCGCTCGATTGGCGAGGGTGCCACAAAGAGGCGGGATGCACGCGCCACAGATTCGCGTTATGCGCGGTGACTTGGTTTGTTTGTTCGCCAACCAGTCATGCCTCAGCTCTTTGGGCTGCAAAGCTCTGCTAGCGCCACTTTGGCAGAGGAAGGAGCAGAGAAGCGCGCGGGCCCCGTCCGGCTCGAGGAGACCAGGTCCAGCGTCTTCCTCCTATGCTCGCACTCCGCCCTTTCTGAGCACCTCCTCTGCTGCTTTGCAGGAAGTAATCGACCCTGAACTGCCAGGGAGAGTGTCCCCAGGCATAGCTCGCGATCGCTGCCGCACCTGCGCAACTGCGTCGGGCGTCCGTGCCCGTCCGCCTTCTAGCGGTTGTCCCGCGTGCGCGCTCGCTCTCCTTGCCGCACAATGGCTTGAGCTGGGCGTGTGCGTCTGTATGACCCCTTCTCCCTCAGGCTCAGGCGGGGACGGCGGTTTGGTGAAGGTGGTCCCGCCTCGCTTGTGCCCTGAACGAGGACACGTGTCGTCTGGCCGGCACCTCTCCCACTCTGTGCCGCTTCTTGTAGTCTTCACTCCGAGCCCGCCGGCAGCCTGGCTCTTACTTGAGAGCCCTGTCTTCGCCCCTGGTCAGCGTGCGAAGACAAGCAGGAGGTGCGCTCAGACCCTCTCGTCGTATCAGAGGATCCTGGAGGCCGAGCGCTCTCTTCCAGGAACAAGCGTCGGCCTCTGTACGCTCGAGAACTCTACCTGTAGAGCCACTGGTCGAGACGAGCGGTCTTTTGAGGCGGAAAGCCTACAGTGTGACCTGTATTATAGCTAGGACCCGCGATCCTCGTGCCGGGTCGATCATCTAGTGGTTAGGATTTTTGTCTTACAAGCCACCCCTTGGAACACAAACAACCTGGGTTCGAACCCCAGTCAACCCACTCTCTTTTGCTGCGCAGGAGGAGGAGAGGAAGCGGGTCGAGGAAGGTCTGTGCGTGCCGGCTCACGCACACTGGGAGGGTCTCCGCCATGAGCACTGCGACCTGGCTCGATTTCACCTATCCTTTGGCGCAGGAGAGGCGACGAGCATGGTAAGTCAGGCTGGAGGCGGCAGCCGTCGTTCGCAGAGATTGTGCACGGAAAACATGTCGCCATGTCGCCCCTGAGCAGCCACACCCTCTGCCGTGCCTGTGGCCCCAGTTATCAACAGCACAGGAGACTGCCTCTGCCTGCAAGCAAGCCACTAGATGGGAAGGGTCAGCACAGAGAAGAGCACGAAGGGGTACGTGCGCGTCCGGCGAGCGGCTCGGTGCCAGTCGCCCTCGTCGTCACACGCCGAATGTCACCATCGCAGCGGGATCGAGAGCCTGAGTGCGATTCGCGACGAGCGGGACAACCTGTCAGCTCCGCGAGCGCGCATAATGGAAGGCACGGGAGGAAGTGCACGCGCGGCTCTCCCTTCTCACCTTGTCCTTGGCCCCGGCTAGTTCTTCTTAGCTACGCCAAGGGCGCAGCCCGCTCGTAAGAGTGCCAGCTAGTCTCCCGCCACGCAGAATGCGGCGGGCAACAGATGCGGTGAGGAAAATGTGAGAGCGTGGCGGTCTACCCGTCGCCTCAGCTTCTCACGGGGCTTGGGCATGGTCTTTGCGGTGTGCACGAGGCTGAGCGCACAAGTACGTAGAACAGAGCAAAGGTAGAGCAACCAGGTGACCGCAGACACAGGCCAGAGCCCGTGCAAGAAGCACGACCGTGTGCACTGGCCCTTCTCGAGATCCGGTTTGGCAACGCCCTCCCCCTCGGCCTCTCGGCAACACCAAGCGCCTCCGAAGCTTTGCATCAGTATCGCGAGCATGACAGCAGTCTCGAAAGGGCAGCGTCTCCGCGCTGCGAGAGGCCTCGCCAGTTCCCTCTTGGATTCGCCGGCCGCAAGGCAGTGGAAGCGTGCGCTGTGATTGCGAGACAAGACACAACAGGTACAGGAGAGGGAGAGAGAGAGAGAGAAGGAGCAGGGAGAGACAAAGAGTCGGGGAAGCAACTGACAAACACACGGACCGCGGCAACGCGACAAGCAGCCGCCTCCCTCTACGCGTCGACCCCCTCGCCCTCGGAGGTCCGCCACGCGCCACGCTTGCGCCTCGTCGCCGCGCCCTCGTCGCCCTCGTCCATCGTCTGCCCCGCGTCCAGCGCCGTCGACGCACCGACGGCCTCTGCACCCCCACCCGCCGCGTCAGCACCTCCCGCGCGCGACGCCGCGCTGTCCGACTTGGCGAGTGCCGCCGAAGAGGGCGTCGTGCGGCGACGCTTGGTCCCCGCTGCGAGGGCGGGCGGCGTGCCGTCGTCGCTGAACGTGGCGGCGCTGCCGACCTGCGGGGACGACGGCGGGAGCGCGCCGTGCTCGGTCGACGAGCTCGCGTGGCGCTGCTGCCGCTGGCGGTCGAGGCCGACGATGCGGAGACGTTCTATCCAGCTGCGGGCGCGAGTGCAAGGGCTGTCAGCACGAGTGCGCAGGCGAGCGGACAAGGAGGGGGAGCGAAAGACGCACGTCTCGGCGCGCTCGACCGACTCGCTGAAGATGCCCGTCACAGAGCGGAGCATGTCGAGGCTCTCGACGGCAAACGTCAGGATGCGGTCTGCGGCCTCCTCCGTCGGCCTCAGCGCGGGGTCCTGTCCCTCGACGGGTCCTCCTCCCGCGCCCGCGTCGCGCTGCTCGCCCGCAGAGCCCGCCGACCCACCCACGCCCGTCGCCGTCGCAGCCGAAGTGCCAGGAAAGTACGCGTCGCCCATCCTCTCCGGGCGAGGCGTGCCCATCTCACTCCCATCGACCGTGCTCTCCCTCGTCGTGCGCCCGCTCGCGCCCCCGGCGCGTCCCTCGATCGCGCTCGCCCACTTGACTGGCAAGCCCAGGATGCACTGCCGGACGTAGCGCTTGGCCTGCTCGGGGAGTGCGGCGCCGGCGTACTTGCTCATGACGTCGACGACTTTGCGGATCGTCTCGACCACGTCGTGCTTGATCTGGGCGAGGTGCGCCGACGCCGAGGCGGCGACGAGGGCGTTGGAAGAGGGGGACGAGGGCGCGCGGGTGTGCGCGCGGAGCGAGAGGATAAAGTCGCGCAGGGTACCGATCTGGTGGTCGAGGTGTGCCGTCGCGTACTGCGGTTGCCGAGCACAGTGAGCTTTGAGCCGTGCGGGTCACAGGACGAGTGACGCACCAGCAGCCACTGGAGGCAGTACCTCAGGCTCTTGAGGCTCTCCTCGCTCACGGCCGCGCCGAGCCCACCCGCCTCGAGCAGCACCGTCTGCCAGCGCGACCTGCCCCCGGCGCCACCGACCGTCGCGACCTGCTGCCCGTTCGCCGCCACCGCTCCGGAGGACGAGGACCCGACCGACAACCCGCGCTGCCGCGCCGGGTCGTACTCTCCCCCACGGTACACCGGGCTAGGCTCGCGCGTCCTGCCGCGCATCTCCTCCTCTTCCCCCACCTCCACCTCCCCCCCGCCCTGCTCCGCGTCCTCCTCCTCCCCAGCGACCTGTCGCGGCAGTGCCATCCCCGGCGACTTGCGCCCCGGAGAGGCCCCCGCCGCGCCGATGCGGTCGAGCTGCCGGCACGCAAAGTCGTCGAGAGGCCCGAGGGGAGGGAGCGCGTTCGCGACGGGGCGGGACACGGCCGAGAAGGACGACTCGACGAGGCCGGCGCCGTACTGATTTCAGGGGGTGGGCGTGAAAAGCAAGGGAGGGGATCAGCGTGACTGCGCGAGGGCGGGGGAAGAGAGGGAGGGGAGGGGAAAGGGCACCTTGACGACGCGCGAGTTGGCCTTGCTGCGTTCGTACCACTCGATGCCACTGCTCACCACGGGAAGCTGCGACACGCGCGCCATGAAGCGCGGGTCCCCGCCGTGCTCGTGCTCGTGCTCACCGTTGCCGTGGCCGTCCGGAGCGAGCTTGTTGTCAGCGAGCATGTCGGTGTCCCCCCCGGCGACGCTCGCCGACCCATTGGGCGAAGAGTAGCCCGTGTCGCTCGTGGCGCCCGTCCAGGCCTCGGACGCGGACGCGGTGCTCGCCGTCGAGGTGGACCGTGAGGGGTCTGAGCGGCGCGAGGACGACGCGGCGCGGTACCGCGAGGGGAGGGGCGGGAGGGCGTAGTGTTCCGGTGCTGAGGTGCTCGCGCTGCCGTGGTGGCGGGGCTGGGTGCCGCTGGTCGAGGGGGAGGGACCCGCGGGCGGGAGGGTGGTGGTGGGCGGTGCGCCGCCCTCGCGCATGAGGCCCAGGGCAGAGACGGCGATGCGCATGTCGTCCGTCATGGCCTCGTCACCGTCTGTGTCGCCCGTGCCGCCCATCGCCGTGTTGCTGTCGGCGTCGACAGGGGCGGAGGAGGTGCCGTCGGGGGAGGGGCGTCCGCGGCGAGGGCGGGGCGGGGCAGAGGGCGCGTGGGAGGGGGCGGCTGCTGCCATGCTGTGTGTGGGCGGTGTGCAGTTGAGCAGTTGAGCGCACTGCCCTGCCCACTCGAGCAGGCGAGCTGTGGCGGTGGAGGGCAAGGGGAGGAGCACTCCAAGGTGACGGCGGCCGCTCGCTCGCTCGGGCGCCGCCCCCGCCGCACTTGAAGGCCCTCTCGCTCGGGTGCAAGGACAAGGGGGCTAGAGAAGACAATGGGTGCAGAGCAGTACTGGCTACAGCACACTCAGGCAGCCCCCCCCGCTCTCTCTTCCTGAGTGGGCAAGCCCACGGCGCCAGCCCTGTTGCCCGTGAAAGAGCGACCGAGCCGTCTCCCTCGCCGCTCTTTCATGCTCAACCGCGCTTTCACCTCCTCGCGCGCGCCGCTGAAAACACACACGGAGACGTCGATACTGCGCGGGGTTGAAACCGTCTGGCTGCGGAGCTACACAAACACGTGGGGGCGGAAACGGGGAGCAAGGGGCAACTCCGTACAGCTGGGTGAGCTTTGCCCCCTCTCGGGTCGAGGCGACGGCGCCTCGTTTAGTGGGTAAAGAGGCTGCGCAAGGAAGCACAGTCAGAACGGTCACAGGAGAGACAACGTCAAAGAGAGGAGACCGTAGGGGCGCACCGGAGGTCGGTAAAGACGTAGACCGCGTTGGACTCGTCGGCCGTCTCGATGACCTTGGCGTCCATGACGGACCCACTCGGCGCCGCAAAGTGTCCGACGCCGGAGCGCGTCGCGCGCCACACGTTGTCCGGGAACGGGAAGAAGGCGTCGCTCGCGAGCGACACCTTGCCCCTGATCTCGTCGAACCAGGCCTTCTTCTCGTCGGCCGTCAGGGGCTCGGGGACGGCCCCCTCGGCAAAGAGGGCCTCCCACTCCTTGCGCTCCGACCCGGCCGGGTCGGCGTCAAAGATCTCGCCCGTGACAAAGACGTCGGTGCCGTTGGAGCGGTCGGCGCGCTTGATGCCCTTGCGCCACTCGAAGCCGAGGACGCGCGGGTGGTGCCGGAGCCACCACGCGTCGGCCTTTGAGCCCGCGAGGCGCGTGCAGTGGATGCGCGACTGCTGCCCCGCGCCGAGGCCGATCGTGCCGCCGTTGTAGGCGTAGCAGACCGAGTTGGACTGGGTGTACTTGAGCGCCGTCGTCGCGACGATCAGGTCCGTCAGCGCCTGCGGCGAGAGCTGTCGGTTGTTTGTACGCGCGCGTGCCAGAGGGCGTCAGCGTCAGGTGGCTGATGGGGAAAGTGGAGAGCAACCCGGACGCACGTCCTTGTTCTTCGAGACAATGTTGGAAAAGATGCTCGCGTCGATCTTGGCGTCGTTGCGGCGCTGCTCGAGCGTGATGCCGTACACCTGGCGAGTCTCGACCAGGCTCGGGTTGAACGACGGGTCCATCTGCACAAGTCAGGGTGTCGGACGGGATGGGTGCTCCTCACTTTGTCAGCCTGCGTCGAAGGCGAGTCGATCCCGACCGAGGAGAGGAGAGAGTGGGCACCGCACCTGCAAG